TGGCACATCTTGACCATTATGTAAGAGGCCGGACATGGATCGCGCCCACGTTTGCTCGAGAGGAGATCGATAAACGGGGGGTCGAAATAGAGAACTGTACGTATTTCCTTCCCGTTAGTTTTGTAGCTTACTAACGGTTTCCGATAGTCTCGTTCACTCCGGAAGAGATCAAGACATTCAAGAAGGATCACCAAGCATACCAACAATTTCGCAAAGGTAAGATAGCCGCAAGTCATATCTGCTGAGAATCTTTTGTAACCTGATACGCAGAGATTGAACTCGAATTGCAATCTGTCCATGGCATCACTATTCTAGGTACACCGGAGCAAGTTGGGGCCAGGGAGGTATTCCTGGAGAACATGAAGCGGCGACTATCGAGAAAACCGGAGCTATTAAGTGGTTTGGTGCCATCTTTCCCACCTGTTTGCCGCCGCTTAACACCCGGACCTGGCTACCTCGAAGCCTTGATGGAAGACAATGTGAGCATCATCAGCAGCAATATTGTCCAAGTGGATGCCGATGGGATCATCACAGCCGACGGAACACATCATCCCACTGACGTTATTGTTTGTGCCACCGGGTTCGACACCACGTGGGCACCACGATTCCCAGTTATCGGACGGGGAGGATTATCCCTCGCAGACCGCTGGCAAGACACTCCAGAGACATATCTCTCGATGATGGTTGATGGGTTCCCCAACTACTTCATCAGTCTAGGTCCCAATTCAGCACTCGGCGATGGCAACCTCTTGCTACTAATTGAGAAGGCAATAGATTATTTCACCTTTTGTGTCCAGAAGATGCAAAGAGACAATATACGGACAATGATGGTAAAGAAAGAGGCGGTTGGTCGGTTCACGCGATATTGCGATCAATACTTCACGCGAACAGTCTTCGGGCAGAAGTGTAGCAGCTGGTACAAAGGGGGAGCCGAGGATGGTAGGGTGACGGCTCTGTGGCCTGGTCAGTGTGCCTTGCTATGCATAAGATGCTTATTAAACAAAATCACTCAGTCGTTCAAATGCTAACCAGGTATAGGATCTTCCCTTCATTCGCTGAAAGTGTTCGCACACCCTCGGTGGGAGGAATTCACGTATGAGTACGTGAACGATAACCCCAACGGATGGATCGGGGATGGATGGACGGAGAATGAGAAGAACAAAACAATCAACGTCGACTACTTAGATGACGACCATATTGATTATCCGAAACAGTTATTGAATGCTGTTGCCTCCGTGCAAGTGGGGGAGTGATGAACGCATGTCAACGACGCCGATCAGTGACGAAGGATCCAGTCCCTCTTCAGATGTCGATCCTGATAGAATCATCTACGGCTATGAGTATGATATTTGTCGCAGTGAAATAGATTTTGCGCATTAAAGCCTGTTGTTCTTGTTTTTTCTGCTCTTCAGGGGTATCGAAGTGGCTATAGGCTTTGTTTCATATCTAGTGTTTAGAACTCAATAGTCTGCGCTGTGGCCACCTGCCATCAGCCCATCACATAATAGTATGGATATATTATAGACTCGGTATAATAGCTAAGTATAGCAGGTGCCATAATGGACTCGGTATAGGTATCCAGAGAAGGTATAAACCGGATACCCTTGGCGAAGATCAATGTGGATCCCTTCCTTAGAAAACCGGTAGTGGGATTGACGAAACGCTTCCCGTTCACGGCTTTTCAGGAGCCGTTGGTAAGGTCACGGTATTGAAAAGCTCAAACGCTGATGGTAACGACAATACCGAAGTGAACCAATGAGACGGCAAAGTTGGCTACGGCAGGAAACGGTGTATTACGTAGTCGAACAGGCGCAGCGTCTGTTTCAGGTAACTCATGGTAAGAATTCATGCAATAAGAATCTCACCTTTCTCCCATGATTTAGAAATCCCAGTTTCTGATAATGGATTTCATGAGACCATGGTTCCCTCAACAACTAATCTTTTGGATCATCTTCTTGTTCCCGGTCTTTCAAAGAAATCATCTCATTGCCCCCATTTGAATTAATTCCCCACTGGATTTCCACTTCGCCTCCCCCCCAGAAAGGCCCCCATCGCATTCTCTTCCTCGACCCCCCTCTCCGTTTTACCCCAGGATTTCTTCTCCCCGATGCACACCAAATTCTCGCCATGAAATCCTCTGCAAGCAAGCATTTCTGCTGTACCATCTGTCAGCGAGGTTTCACCCGCATTGACCATCTTAAGCGCCACCATCTGCGCCGTATGTTCGTCTGCGCCTTTGTCTTGCCCCGGTCTCGGCGACGCCGCTGTGGCCGCGGATGGACCTCCCCGGTCATAACTAACTGGTGAATTAATTGACTTGCAGATTCCGGAGTAAAGCCATACTCATGCGTTTTTTGCAATGAATCATTCGCTCGATGGTTTGTAATTACTCTCTTATCTGTCTACATTCTTTTTTTTACTTTTCTTTTTTTTCCCTTTTTCCTTTCTTTTTTTGTTTTCACTTTTGTTATCCCCTTTAGAGCGGATCCCCTTTTAGCTACCAGACGGTCGCAACAATCAATTGATGATACTTTCATTCAGTGATAATCTACGGGACCACTACGCGGACTGCGCTCAACGAGGAGACCGAAAGATTCCCGAAACTGGACAAAGAGGCAGAAGGCGTCATGCATGCCAATCGGCAAGTCCATCCTAATTGTTGCCTTATTCACCCACAAGGCATAGCTCCTAACGGCCTACGCATATAGTGTACGTCGATGAAACTGCGATGCGATGGCCTACGGCCTTGCAGCTCTTGTCAGAAAAGAAATCTCCATTGCAATAACGAGCGCAACCAAGTGAAAGACCACGAAACGGGAGGTATAAGCACCACTTATAGGCCTCTGTTTTCCGGACTACCTACTAATGGCTGAATAGGCTCGGTATCTTCCAAGAACAACGACCAAGAACCGTCGTCAGATCGGGGATCGATCAAATTCCTCCTCAATGGAGGCACAGACACTTTCACGGAACACTGGAACCTCCCTCCCAGCAATGACCGACCCCGTAGGCTCAACGATTATAAGAGCCCAAAGAGCTTTGAGGAAGCCGACAGCTCCATCCTAGAATACTCGACCAAGGAAAGTTATCTGGAATACGCTCCAACATACATTGAGTCAGACCCGGTGGCTCTATCTTTCTTCCACGACACGTTTCTTGATTTTTTTAATGGCCCGTTCGGAGATCCCCATAGGTCGACAAATGATCCATACACAAGCGGGATGGCGTATCAGTCCATGGCACCCTCTACGCAAGATTCTGATCTCAGATTGACCGAACAGCAGCCCGCTTACGAGCATGAAGCTCCGTTTGCAACCGCCATGATACAGGCGATTTTGACGAAAGTTTGGTCCCTTCATCTCGATGCTAAAACGCAGGAGGAGATTTCGGAAATGCTGAACTTCCTACTGGCACCTACACGCATGCGGAAATATATGGCACTGTACTTCAAGTACTGGCAACCCAATTGTCCAATGATCCATGTTCCAACGTTTGACCCGAGGACTGTGTCGCTATCGCTTCTCACGTCGGTTTGCTTCATGGGTGCCAAGTATACTGAGGATAAGAGAGAGCTGGACGCCGCGCAGCGATTAGTCGACTTTGCGGAACTGTTTGTCTTCTCCAGCGGAATTTTCTCGAGCGAAAATGAGATCAGTTCGACATATTATGGGGTCCGAAATGCTGATGACGATCCTAATTGCTGGGTTCAATTCCAGAATCTACAGGCTGCATTCCTCATGGTGATATGTCAGTACTGGTCAGGAAGCCGTACGTCACGGAATCGAGCAATGGAAAATCGGTTTAGCGAAGTCATCAAGGTAAGGTTGGTGCAAAGCAGCGGAGTTGTTCGTAGGGGCTGACTAGGGCAGGTTGCGCGCAGAATGGGTCTACCCGCGTTTCAGCATGGATCCGAGGAGCGTCTTCATGAGTATTTATGGATTCAGAGGGAGTGTCGTATACGGTACGTTGAGCTACCATTCTTTGAACCCCCAATATCACTAACCACTTGACAGCGCCATCAACTTAATCTCACTGCTGGACTGCGCATTCTCGTTCTATTCGAACTACCCATGCCGTTTGTCTCATAACGAAATGGAGTGCGCGCTGCCTTGTGTGGAGTCCGTATTTGAATCGGCGCATCCATTCCAGGAACCCAACTTCGAACTATCCCGGGATATAACTCTATCCGAAGCTTTCCAAATGTTATTTGAAGAAGAAAGCAGCCGGGCCTCATCACCTTCCACGTCCGGCTCTACCGTTGCAGAAACCCTCGCCAAACTCACTATCCTGGACACGTTCATGTTGATTCACTGTAAGTAAATGCTCTCGTGTACGTCACCTCTATCTGACGGGAAACAGTGCTTTACGCTTTCATAAACACGCACATGACACTTCTCGCTACTACAGTGTCGAAAGCACGTGTCCCACACTCCCAGCAGATGCACGGCTCTCGGGCCCATAATTATCGTTCGGCGATACCAGAGGACTCTACACTCGATTCCATACGCATAGCACTCTCTCGGTGGCACGATCACTGGACCAGGCTGCGCAGCGCAACGTCCAGCCATGACTGGGCCTCCATGGGCTTCTACAAGAACGGCTACCATTTCTGGCTTGTGTCACAGCTCCTGATCACCAAGAAAGAGAGTGTGGACGTGGTGATGCGCATGGAAGTGAAGTGTGAGGACAAGCTGGAGCAACTCAAAGTTCTGCTGAAGGATGACAACGAATGACGCTTTATGACTGAGTCGCGTTACAACGACTCATTCAATTCTTCTTTTCTTTTTCTCGTTTGTTCTTTCTTGGACAGGCGCTCGCTGTATACACGACGGAATGGGTGCATGATTGTACGATACACTAGAGCATTCAGGCGTTACGAGTACATATACTTGGTTTTAGAGGGACATTTTGAATACCACATCATAGATTCGGGGGTGGATTTGCGATTCCAAATCGTTGCACAAACTTTGTTCCTCTCAGTAACCAACACACACATCTAATTAGCTGGACGAAGCACATTCAACATCCAAGAACTCCTCATCAACCTATACAATATCAGCCCATGCAATCTCAGTACACACAGTAAGAGCAACTCACATTGGTACAAATAAAATCACTGTTCCCCTTAGGACTCTTGACATCGATATTCGTGGCATGAATACCAGAGCAAACCTAAACCGTTAGCATCCCATGTACCCTCCTCGACGAAACAAAACTCACATCAGGACTCGAGCAAATAATCGTTCCGACGTTAGGGTCATTCTTTGCAGATGTGACACCCGTGAGATCATTGAAGTAGACATCGCTAATCGTAAGGTTGCTCTGTTCCAAACCAAGTCAGCCAAACCCATCCCTTCTATATGATATCCCAAGCAGCATCTCCCCGGTGAATACGAAAGAAAGTCATACCGGATGCTCGTTACACAACGTCTGATTCTTCTGTCCATAACACTGCGTAACCTCAATTGCCCAGTCCACGTTCTCAATGTACATGTGGTCGTAGGTAATGTTCTGGACACTGCCGAGGCCGCCTCCACCCTGGAGATCTTCGGACATTGCGCTGGACACACCGGGCCAGACCTTGATGCGGGCCATGTCCTTTTCCCCCTGTTAGTGGATTGAAATGCCGGGTGGACTAATGGGGTTTGGTACGGGGACATACAGAGGCATTATACATGGAGATGTTGTAGACGAGGACGTTCTGCACGATGTCGACTTCGCCTTGGTATTGGCCTAGTGAGCCCACGGAGATACCGTGGGAACCATTGCAGTGGAGGTTCTGAACAAGGATCTCAGTGCTGTTTGGTTTGAAGGAGACACAGTCTTTCAAATTTCTTATGGTTAGTGTATTCACAAAGACGGCGGGGAGGAAGAAAGAAAACATACCATCACCGTTGTTGATGACCGAGTTCTGGATAACGATATTACTCGACCGATACGTATCCCTTCTCCATCATCAGCACCTCTATTAACTCCAATAGAGATAACCCAAAAAATAGAAGAAAAAAGGAAACATACCATCCATCCGTATTCTTCGCCTCATTTTCACTGCTACTATACCCCCAAACATCAATCCCATCGAACAGCACATCCGAACTATTCGCAACGAGCTGATACCACTGCGGCGAATACCGCAACTTCAGAGGGCCGATCGTGCCCCCGTGCAGCCCGATAATGCCGACGAGAATGGGCCGCAGGATGAGCGCATCCTCAGCGTACAGGTCGTACCAGACCTGGCCGTTCCCGTTGAGTTCGCCGCCGCCATAGACGTTGACGTCTGTGCCGCCGAGGTTGAAGAAGGTGGTCGCGTTCTGGAAAGTGTGTTTGAAGGAGTTCTCTTGCCAGTAGTCTGTGTCTGGGGTGAAGGTGATTTTGCCGAGGATTTCTGGGGTCGTCTGATCAGTGTTCTTGTGGTTTTGGTGTCGCGATGCCCATGTACATACCCAGATCTACATGCTTCAGGAAGGTCATGTCCAAGGCTGTGCCAATCGTGTACTCCTTGTCTTCGTCAAAGACGACCTTGCCGCCGTTGTTGCATTGCTTCAGGGCAGAGAGGATATATGGTGCATCATCCGTTCCGTCTTCGTTACTGTGGACGTGACAGGTCTTGTTCCGGGGTGAACTGGCCGGAAGAGGTCGGAATGGTGGTTTGGGCCCGACTGCGTTGGTTCTGGACAGGGAGAAGCCTTCTACCGGTAGGCTGAGGCCTAGGGAGAGGAGGAGGGTGGTTGCTTGTGTGAGCTTCATGGCTCGTGTTCTTGTTGGGTGTTTAGGAGGTCAATCAATGGCTGGGTTCAGTTTCGTGATGGCGCTATCTAGGATGTAGGTGCTACAGAATCGGGGTCTCTACCACGGGCTTAAAGTGCAGACAGAGGTAGGGACGGGGCCATAGGCAAATATATAGGTTTTATTTCTGGTAAACAGGCTGATATACTCTAGCCTGCATCCGTCAACGAGTCCACTAGGATAAACCCATTCATTTACTTCCCGCCAATCTTCTCGCCAGCGGGTGAAAGTAAAGTGGGGAGCATTGAAGCCTTGCAGCACTCATCATAAGACAAGCTGTATCGGAGAAATGAAGGCTGAAATTAACGGATGTTGTATAGGGTTGGGATTCGCCGCTTCTGATAGGAGGGATAATACGGCCGGGATTAATCCGATTGGGAGGAGAAATTGGACGATCGTTACTCCGTTTTGAAGCCCCGGATTTATGGCTGGACGTGTTTATGGGGGAAACACTCAGTTACTCGGCTAGGGTTGGTTGAACGTGTTGCTGTTCATGTGGAGTTGTCCGGGGTTGCTCTCGATGTTGGGGTTGGCATGACATAATCTCACGTCTATGAGTGGATACTATTCATTTATTCGAACTCAGTACCTTTCACTTCGGGGTGTTGTTCACCTTGTAGTGTGTATCTTAAGGAAAGAAAAAAGAGTTAAGATCGTCCATCTCCAGGAACAAGTGCATTGCGGTATATATTAGGGCTAGTCCTTCGTCTTCCGTAGAGTGATTGACTGGTTATTTCCACGTGATCATTCGGCATTCGATTACATACCCCAGTAACTTGTGGGCTAGCATAAGGGAAGATAATTTTTAGATAAATTCGGTTTATCTAACGTCTTCGGCGGGAAACCAGTGCAGCCCTGGTTTAATATATACAAACAAGAACGCCAGTCGTGTTGCGTTGAACCAGTAGAGCCCCCGAAGTATTGTCTATCGAGTGCTAGATGCCCAAATCCACCCAGAAGCTTGTCAATCGACGGTCTATTTTCCTGATGGACAATTTCCTTTTAGACCCTCGTCGGGCCCCCTTGCGCGGTAGAGTCCCATCTAGAGGAACCAGTTGAACCGATTTATGCGGACTTCTTCTCAACGGCAGCCTCGGCCTTCACGGCGGCCTCCTTCGCTGAGTCAACCACTTCGTGTTCCATCGACTTGATGGCTTCGACGGGAGATTCGTCCAGGCTACGGTGGTAGTTATAGATACGACCGACCTGAACGACACCGACACATCCGAGGAAAAAGTTGACAGCAGCAAGCCTGGGTCAATCAGCACTCTATATCTCATGGACTGCGCTCTCTGAGATCAACGTACAGGTAGTTCTTAGGTTTGATGATCAGACACCAGCGGGTCCAGATGGCTCCGGTAGCCGTCAGGGCACCGTTCTGAGTCAAAGACAGCTTCTCGGCGGGACGGCTAAGATCGGAGATACCGGCGATGACCAGAGCCCACTAAGCGAAGTCAGCTATATCCATAGATCTGTGAAGTTCGTGAATTGCGGCCGCCGACGCGGTTATCATGTTCATTATTGTGGTGCGTAACGGCGTCCGGCAAGGGAGGGTGCATATTATACCTTCATGACAGGGGCCCTAAAGCAACAAGCATTAGAACAGTAAATCCAAGCAAAGAGTTTATACAGACGCCCAGAAATTAAACAACATACCAGAAATGCACCGTCTTGACACCAACGGGGCTGTTCCATATACGCTGGAAAGTGCTCTGTTGCTCGGCGGCGGCATCCGAGCTCTGGAAGCGGCGTCCGGCGCCAAAGCGACGCTGCGCATTGCGAAAAGCAGCGCGAGAGTTCTGGAAGAAACGAAGACCGACACGGGAGGACATCTTGAAAGTGAGGAGCGAAGAAGATGGGGAAGGGAGAGGCAAATGCCGGAAGGCGGAGAAGTGGAGATGGGCTCTCAACCGGAGTTTAGATTAGCAATGTCGAGTCGCACCAGAGGATCAATTTCAACTCTGGGAAATAGAAATGGAGGAGTGGAGATTGACAGAAGGAGAAGAAGTAAGTAAGTGAATCAACAGAAGGATAGGATATCAGAGATGAAGCCGACCTCGGCGGTCGCCGTCGGGAATGCTTTCAATCGTTGGGGTTGCGGCTCTTTTCCGGCTGAGGTAAGCGGTGACAATCACGCTTGACCGGATTGGTCCACGGCCTCAGACCTCAATTCATCACCGTTTCAATCGTTCGATCACCCCTCCGTTGGCTCCAATTGATACCCCAGCTCTGTTTTGATCCGTTTGATCGGGGAAGCAGCTCCTTACTCTCATTGCCTATCGCCGTCTATCCTCTTAATCCGGTCTTCCATCATCCCCCTTTCACAATGTCCGGCAAATATGTTTTCACCAAGGGTCTGAAGGAGCTGCGCTTCCTTTTCTGTCAGACTTCAGAGCACAGCGCTCCCACAAGGTGTGTTCGGAGATTCGATTTCTGGTCAAGGGTGGCGTGGGATTCACAAATAACACCCAATAGGACCTTCCTGCAGCGCGCATACCCCACCATGAAGAAGCACAACCCTCACGTCCCCATTCTGATGCGCGAGGCCAGCGGTACTCTGCCTAAGGTGTATGCCAGATACGGTATGCTACAATCGTACCTACAATGGCTAGCGACGCAGAAAAGGCTAATACAGGAGTGATATACAGCATTTGGCAAGGAAAAACTCGAGCCATTGAATGGTAAGAGGTCATTTGTTCGAATTGACTTGGTTTCAATTACTGATATCAAACCCGTACAGGCTTGTCGGATGCACAGATCGAAGAAAAACTTACCAAGCTCGTGAAGGAGTCGTCATAGCGAATTTTCCGCACTTCCGTATATGTCCATGCATCGTGTTCAAATCGTCAACCATTGTATCTATAGATGAACTGGAAAATTCAATTTACTTCGAAACAATCAAGGGACGCCTGGAATCTCTTCTATTTATACCATCTAATTCACAGAGAACTACTACTGTTGGCTACCTGACCGAATCTAAACTGCGCCCAGCTCATACTGCCCTCACCCATCGTCCACAGCCTCTTGCCGACATCATCTCCCGCAGCTCCGGCGCCAACGTGAATGGGAAGCAGATGGTCAAAGGTCGGATGTGCCTGCCGAGCATCAGGTCTCTTCAACAGATCCGCCAGGGCCTGTTCTCTCTCCACCGGGGGAGCCGTGGCCGCTTTCTTCAACGCCTCATCGAAGCTGGTGGTGTACGGCAGCGGCCGCGAATCGTTCATGGAGAAAAACAGATCGCGCAGGTTGTGGACCGCCATTCCAGAGACGATTATGAGGATATTTTCATCGCGGAGGCTAGACACGGCCTGTCCGAGCCGGTAATGCGCGACAGGATCCTCGTTCTTGAACAACGAAACCTGCACAATGGGCACGTTCAACGGGTTTGACTCAGGCTCAAACGCTATATGCTATTAGTTTCTTGTTCACCGCATCAAGCACCATTTCTCGCAAAGAAGATGAACCTACCACACTTGAAACTCGCCCACACACCATGATCCAATCCTCTTTTCACACCTTCCGCCTTGATCCCCGCTTTCCCAAGCAGATCAAGCACCTTATTCGCGACCTCCCTGCTGCCCACATTGGGGTACTTCTCCTTGTAATAATGGCTGGGGAAGCCGTAGAAACTAGCCAAAAGTCAGCACACATCACCCAATCCCCACCCAAAAATCGCAAGAGGATCCAAGAAAAACATACTCATAGATCAAATCCGTAATCTCAGCCGTATTAACCTGAACCGTATCCCTACCGGCCTGCCAATGCGCCGAGAAAACCACCACAGCCTTCGGCTTCACCTTGGTCGTAATCTCCTTGCCAATCTGCCCCAGCTTCTTATACGCCGGGTGATCCGTCTGGTACATGACATTCGGCTTTGGTATAGATAGTCAGAATTTCTCCCTCTCTCTTAAAATCCCACAGAGAACATCAAACTTACACCCCCATGACTCAAAAAATAAATCGGCGTTCGACCCATCTTCTCACTACCAGCCGCTGTCTTAGAGACCTTCCTACTTACAGCGGGAGGAGCACTTGTGAAGAATCGTTTGAGACCTAACAGGTTGGCGGCTTGGGAGTCCCGGTACTCCTCTATGTTCTTGTTGGTATTGTAGCCTATGAAGAAGGCCAGCGATACTGCGATGAGGACAGTGAGGATGGCGAGCGCTGTGAGTGGGAATGGTTTTCTAGGTGATTGTTGAGTTGGGGTTGTGGTGGGTTGGGAAGACATATAGTGTTTTTTTTTTGTCTTTGGGATGGTTAGTAGTTATATATGTGTGGTTTGTAGTTCTGGGTGGAATTTATTGGGAATTGTTTTTTATACAGTTTACAAGTTATATAGTGTAGCCAATGGTGATGTCGGGCTGGGATTGCAAATTGTAAGCAGTTGTCAGCCGGAGGCGCGGAAGTGCGGAATCGGTCCGCTCTGGGTTTCAAGTATGTTTTTGTTTTTGCATTAGTGCTTCATTGGATTATGGTAGATGTTATTGGTATGTATAAGTTGTTGCCCTGAGAGGAGATGGTCTTTCATGTACATAGTGTATTTGTATTAGTCTTAATTTCTTGGAATCTCGCTCTATGTTCTGGAGGCACATAAATAATAACAGGGTATACATCATATGGTATTCATCAAGTCTTCCATCTCCAACGTTTCAACCATGTGCATAGTCTTAATTCCAACCCGGTCGAAAGAAGATAAAGCCAATGCAAATGGGATATAAAAGAAAAGAAAATCTTCATGCATGAGACATTAAATCTATAACCTCCCGTTCCGACCTCACATGAGAATGCAGTCGCCTTCGTTTTGCTTCTGTTGGTTGGTACCAGACCGAGAAAGCCGGGCTTTCTGCATCTGGGCGCCTCCCTTCTTGATTTCTTCCAGACGTTCGCGGGCTTTCGGGAATCCTTGGGCTGTGTAGTAGAATAACGTCGATTAGCAATTGTATCAAAGCGATGGACTGCAAAGCACTCACCAGCTGCCCGCCAATACCATCGCTTGGCATCCTCCATATTGGCGGTGACTCCGATTCCAACCTCGGTATAGTAACCCATTGCATATTCTGCCTTTGCAAGACTGGAAGTGGCGGCCTTGCGTGCCCAGAGGTAGGCTTCCGTGTCGCTCTGCTGCAGAATCCCCTCCGCGCCAGTCAGATACCATCCGCTCAGGGCAAGCTCACTCTGGTGCTCGCCCTGCGCAGCCGCATGAGTATACCAAAAGATACTCTGCCGGGGGTCCACGGGGCACCCCATCAACCCATACTCGTACGCAGTGGCTAGTTGGAACTGGGAGAACTTATACCCCAGTTCGGCAGCTTGGTGGTATAGCTGACTAGCATACGCCTCATCACGAATGACTATGTCATTCGGGCCCGCATTAGCATACATGAGCGCAAGTTCATGCAGTGCGTGTGGGTTCTCGGCATCAGCACGTTCTGCGGCACGCTTCAGCCAGGAGATACCCTCGCGAGGGTTCTTGGCTTGCCCGAGAAGCCCCTTAAGCATAATCATTCCCATCTTATACATCGCTGGTGGATCTCCCAAAGATGCAGCACGCTTATACCAATGCACTGCCTTGAACGGATCGCGCTTGGTACCACCGCCTTCTTCCGCGCCAATTTCACAACACACAGCCGTGCGGTACGCCGACTGGCCATGCCCCTGCTTAGCAGCCGTTTGGTACAAGTGGAAAGCTTCTTTGTGATCAACCTGAAGGCCCAATAGCCCTTGACCGTAGCAGTCCGCCAAGAAAAATTGTGCGTCCGCATATCCGCTGGACACAAGCTTTTTGACGATTTTGTAAGCATCCATCGCATACTTCTCCCTCGCTTTCGCCTTGGACTTGGGATCTAGCCGACTGCTCTCAACAAGTACCACCGAGGCCTCGGCCAGCTTCTGGGCGAGTAACAGTTGGGTCTTCTTGTCCGAAGGATTGCTCTTGGCCACCCGCTGCAACTGTTGAAGCTCTTCTTGCGTCACTGGCCCGGCGGGGGAATCAGCCGGAGTGCCTTGCTGCGCGGCAATAGGAGGCGGTGCGGAGTCAGCCGCGCTGTTGTACTGGCGTACAGGTGCTGGCTTGCTACCCTGATCGTGTCCGGGCCGGAAAGGTGCAGGATGGTGAGGTAGCGCATCGGGGTTTTGCTCGGGGTCTACCGGGTCCATCTGATTCACGACTGGGGGCGGCGCTTCGTTCGCATATGTGGGTTGATTGGCCCGGTACGGCTGAGGTCCATTGCTGCGAATGGAGCCACCGCGGCTTGCGTACCCAGTCTGTTCATCGGGGTATGCATTCATTTGCGACCCCCAGCTACCATGTTGTTGGTGTGGAGTCTGCATAGGATCTTCATAGCCGAACCCGTAATCCATCCCCTCCTGGTACTGCGCAGCGGGTGCTGATGCAGGGAGGTCAAAGTGGAATCCTGCATTCTCGAATTGATTTGGCACAACCCCTGGTCTTATCTCCGGCTGAGATTGGACATGATGAACTTCGGTGGGCTGCGGGCTGAACGCCGCGTACTGGCCCTGAGGAGCGGGAGGAGCAGGTGTTTTGGGTTTCGGCTGTTCTAATCCGGGCAAACTTTCGTCGATTGCACCACCATGGCCACCATCAGGCATAGCATCGAAATTAGGCATATCGGGCTCATCTGCGTGGGCCGTGCTATAATAGCTATCCAGTAATGCGTCGACGTGGAGAGACTTGTGCGCATTGCTTTTCGCGGCAAATGTGGGGTCTTGGTATGTCGCCTGTCCGGGATACATTGGCTTAGGCACGGGCGGGGCCACCGGTGGTGTCATTGTCGGTGCAGCTGTAGCGGGCATGGTTGCGCTCCTATTGATATGCGGTATCGGCGGTGGTCCATTAGGGTCAGTATAAGACCGCTCACTCCGCTCACTCCGATCAGACCGTCCGGTCGTCGGGCGCCCTTGGCTCGCAGATCTTACGGGACCAGCAGGATAATCTCCCCTACCCCGTCCAGCGGAGCCAGGGGGCGGTTGTCGAGGCATCTCCTGCCGTCGTCCGTGCGACGTATGCGGACGGTCTGGCACAGTTACAGGCGACATTGGGCCATTGAGATCCATCCTCGCCATTCCAGTTTCAATTCCTGTTGAAGTTGAGCCGGACCGGCTGCGAGGTTCCTGGGAGGGAAATATCGGAAACGGATTGTCCCACGCTGCGTTGGAGGGAGGCGGCACAGGACGAGGGGCTGGATTATAATCAGTACTTGATTTACAGGCCCGTTTGATGCAAAGGTTTCACTCACGAGGCCTTGAGCGATCTTGCCTTGACGGCGCTCGCCTGTCACCATAGCCACGAGGCGCATCGTATCGGTTTGGCGGCGGTCGACCTCTTGGCGCATATCCGCGATCAGGTCGTGGCTCCATGGGAGGGCCATAACCTCCCCGCGGTGGGCGTGGAGCACCTCGTGGAGGTCCGTATGATCTCGGGACTGCTTGGTCACCCGGATAACCGTATCCAACATCGTCATAGCCTCCATTACCAGACGGGTAACCGTAATCATATCCTTGGTCAAAATGTCCGTCTTGCGGCGGGCCTGCGGGCCGAGAGGGACGAGGGCCGTAGTTTCTCACGGGCGGAGGCCTCTGCGCTGGATGCTGAGGGTAAGCCATGACAAAGCTCAAAGCTCAAAGCTTCAGTTACGGAGACAACTGTCGTTCACTACTGAAAAGCGGGTTGGCTTTCTTTGTCCAGCTGGACACCAACTAATTCATGTGCGAGCCTGTATCACGACTCTGGTCCTAATCCACTACGTATCTATCTGGAGGTCAGCTGGTCCATTTGTGTGAAAGGTCCAGTCAGGACAACTGGAAGGATGCGCGCAACGGTCGAAGCTTACTGGAACGCGACAGTAAAAGAATGAATACCACCAGCCCCTCGAGTCGAACAAGCGCAGCAGAAGTATGCGATCATAAACCAATCAATGAAGTACGCGTGCCTGCAACGGGAGAGACATTGTCAGCGGACAATCTTGGGTGTGGAGGACTTGAAAAGCCGAGTGCGCGATTGGAGCGTCAATGCGCCAGGACAACCAACTTGTTCGAAGGTAAATCAGAGCCACAGGGGGGTGGGTTGGAGGGGACTCAGGGATGTTTCTCCAAAGGAATGAAGGAGACACAGCAACGGAAGGAGTCGAACTGAAAAGCAAAAACGACCAAACGACAGACAAGTTCCCTGTGGTTTGTGGAAAAAGAGCGTGTGACCACGGAGGGGGGGGGGGAATGAGGGCGAGTTAGTTTTATTTTAAGAGGAGAGATAAAATGGATTAAAATGGGATGTCCGGATGGAGCCGCGGAGGTTGTTTGTAACAACAACTGTTGGTAAGTAATTACTAGTCAGTAATTTTTAATATCCGGCCCTGAACCGCGCAGGTACCCACGAATAATACTGGCGAGTTTGGATAACACAGGGAATCAAGGATGATGGGATTATCCTTTCTAGAAGGGATGACTTTTAAATGAACGACTCTTATTCCCTCTTCACTGTCTGCCTAATTTTCTTCTGACCTGTTCCCAGTGACAATGGGGGTTCTTTTCCTTGTACCCACATCCTGTCCCGCAATTATTCTCTGGTGTTTGATATCAGTGTCCCACTCGTTGCAGAATGGAATTCTCACTTGAGGGCCTGACATCCCCTAAGAACAGTTAGTGGATTGTTTTAGGATTCTTTCCCATGGATAGTGGGGAAGTGGGCCCGATGAAGGAATATATTCATGAACACGAAATGTAGGTACCTGAAAAGAATAGAAGAAAAAAAGAAGAAAAAAAGGGGGGAACCGTCGTATAATCCAGAATGGATTGACTTCAATTTAGGGCAAAATAATATCGATCTCTTTGTAGGTATTTTCCACGACGGTCACTTTTATCCTTTTTTTCTTTTTCTTTTTTTTCTTTTTGATTCTTCTCGCTACAGATGGAATGCATTCTTTCTATGAAAAGTGGGGAAAGCGGTAACAGCACTTTTAGTATCGAGTAGTATTGTGTCTTAAGGCTGCTAAGACGCCATGTCATCCCAATCAGAGAGACACATTTCCCCTTCAAGATAAATTTCACTTCTTGGCGAGTCCAATAATTCCCCTCTTTGCATGGATGCCCTCGGCGCAAACCATGGGCCGGCGGTTACCTGACGTCCAGATAACCTTGTCCTAATTATAGATTCTTTCTTCCTAACAATGGAAGTCAATATGCGATGGGTGCCGAGTACAGTTCTATACTCCGTATACATCGCTGAAACAACTTGCGACGAGATGTGATGCAAGGAAGGCACCAATTGATGGATGGACTCGTCGTCCAATCTATTTACCTATATCTATCTGCATCCGGCAATATATCGACCATTGAGGAATAGGGGTTGGTCGCATGGAATGTTCCGTATTGCTCGTCGTGTCCACTCCCCTGCCACTTCGGGCAATTCACAGGAGGTACGAGTACGATGCCGTATAGCATATGCAAATAGAGTATGACGGAGTCTCTCAATTTCGAAACGCAGGGGATTGTAGGCGTCTTCTCTCACCGTCGCTTGATGTATGACGTTGAACTGGTTGTCCTGTTGCTTACTCCTACATTCGACCCCTTGACCGAACTACAACCGTTTAAATCGGATAGGCCCCTTGCTACCGAAATTCTTTCTCTGATCCAACGGTTATACACACAAAACACGGCAGGGAACAGGATCAGCCATGAAAAACCTACCGATCAGCTGAAGAGACCTTCCGAACAAGACAATATCTGCGAGTGAGATAATAGAAATGCCCCAAAACAGTACCTACTCCAGCAACTAGCAAGGGTAGTGGTCAATAGTAGAGACAATCGACCTAGTGTCAGAACCGGTGGAGCATAACGTAGTATGAACTATGAACTTCTTTTTGCGCCGGTTTTTTTTTTGGGTCCCCCTCTAACCACGGATTCTTGTTCCACCCCGGTTTGCATTGTTTGCCCGATAAACCCGCCCTACTGCGCCACCTCGCCTCAAACCAACCTCAGCCACATGCCGACCGCCGACCACCGATGATGCTATTCCGTTCCACCCAATTATGCGACGCCTATTATTTCTGAGCAGCACCTGCGCGTGGATCTCCCTCCCACACACCAAAGAGAGCACGGCCACTCATTTATTCCTCAGGGTCTAAGTGATACATATTACATACCGACAAAACCTGACATCATTGTCTCGGCAATTTACATCCGCACAGTTGACATCCCTCGGAAACACGCCGTCACCATGTCCAAAGCGGGAACGTGGATAAAGATGTTCGTCGTGTAAGTTTCCCTCAATTCTGCGAATTCAGCAATCCAACGGAAGCTGACAGGATATATAATTCTAGCGGCACGGTGATCTGTGTCGGCGGCCCCGCTCTCGTCCAAGCGATCCGTCCTACCGATGAAGAATTGTTTAAGCGGTATAACCCCGAGCTCCAACGGCGGAGTCTGGAGGAGGGTGATCGTCGCGCGCAGGAATTTGATGATTATGTGAATCGCTTGAAGCAGTGGTCTAAGTCGGACAAGTCGAGTATGTTCCCCTTCGGGAGGTGAAGTGAATGGGATCTGGAAGATGATTGGGGGCTAATGGGTCTGAATAGTCTGGATTGCGGCTCAGGAACAGCAGGAACAGATGCGGACGCAGGCTGCGGTGCAGCGGGGTCAGGCGAAGGATGAGGCGAAGGCTCAGCGTGAGGAGATGCGCAAGGAGTTGCTGGGTGAGAAATGATCTCGTGGATTATGCGCGCGAGATGAGCTACAGCGCGGTTGATTAAGAGGAATATCGGGTGTTGGCTTGTCCCATATACCCTTATCTGTATTTATACCCGTGGTCGCTAGGCCGAGGGAGTTAAAAGCTTTGTGCATGAATCATGGGCGAGTCTTTTTACCGGGAGTTATCGGTTGGGCGCTTTCTTGTTTGCATATATGAAAGACGAACGGATGAGATGATTGTATAGTATTGGAAAAGGTATATTCTCCGTTCTCAATCTATCCTACCGCAGCATTCCATCTTAAGTAGCGGGTGTTTTTATGACCGGCTGGAAGTAGGATGATGCCTGCATTGGTATCTTGCCTTGAGATATACACATATGAAGATAACAGAATGAACTTTGTCGCTTGTAATCCACAGAGTATTGCAAATGAGTGCCGTATAGCAGTAAACCCGTGATGAGCAAGCACTAGTAGTATCCAAGGGGTAACCATGTTCTGTGAAAGAGGTCGACATCAAGGCTTTCGTCCACTGTATTGGTTGATTTCAGTCAATGACCCTAAGTAAGTAATGGGGCTCCATATCACAACGCCTTTGTCTCCTTGATTTATCTGGTTATCAGAAAAGCCGACCTTCAACAATCGAGACATCTTCCTTTCAGAAGTCTAGATCTTGAATTTCCAACATGACCCCAGCGGCCTCACATACCAACCTCAAAAAAGCCGTATCTGGTAGTGATCTCACCATTAGACTCGGCTTAAGCACAAGTAGTCGAAGTTGAGGTACGAAATAATCGCGATATTTAACCAGCTCCGCAAGGCCAGACACGATAAACGTAAAAAAGCCCTCCACAACAACGCCTGTAATTTCTAGCACCTCTAGTGAGCAAGGAAGTTGACCTGTGAATGATCCTGAATTGTTAATCTTGAGTCCCACGAGGCTAGCGTGCGGAATAGAAAGCTGTTGGAGTACCCTAAACTCCTGCAAGGATCCGAGTAGACCATACAGGTCGCATTGCACTATTGATGGACTTTGATAATCAAATCCGTTTGAAGCCGTCCGCACAAAGCCCAGGCGAAGAGACTTCAAGGTCTCTTTGACTCGAAGAAGCGCCTGGCGGAAGGCGTTTGTATTGCAGTTCCCATCATGCAAATCAGGAGAATAATCAAGTACAGCATGGAAATGCTCGAGTTTAGGGCACATTTGAACCCATTTGGCCATGCCTGTAGGATCAAAAGCCCCCATCATAACACCGGCTGAAGTAACTTGGCACGTAGGGCTGCCTAGTGTAAGTTGATCCAAAGACCTTTGGCTTTGGTCTAAAGGCCGTTCTTGAATGTTGTATGCGAGCACTTCGCGAACAGCTGGAAAATAGAAAAACGGCAATACAAAGTCTGTAGCTACCGGTTTGCACGCAGTGAGGGAGCTAATCTGAATTTTTTGTAGACAGGGAAACGGGGGAGTGTTGTGAAAACGTCGCTGGCGCATGACTGCCTTTTCCAGGATGTCTTGCAGTAGTTCATCATGATCATACGCCAGCAGAATTGTTTCCAAGCGACTCAGGCGAGTTAACAGCAGGCCCACCCAAGTCACACGTTTGACTACCAGCGACATATCTTATAGCAATCATCTTGTAGACCACATTTCGATACACTTAATAGTGCAAACATTGTTAATATTCTAGATATACAGACCTTGAACAATGACGCAAGGCAACCTGCCGTGCACCGATATCTCTCCGAGACACATATACATGATCTCAAGGTCAGGATACGTGTACAAGGCCTGCTAGTTGAACGGTTTACTGTTGAAGATCAAGTCATGCAAGGGGGTAATGGAGGTTAAATGATGACCAATGGAGTAATAGCCGTCAACGTCAATTTATCCAGTTGTATCATGAGTAAATCAAGATGGAGCTTTCCATATATAAATGATCTTGCCCTGTACGCCTATTGGGTACTACTATATGACACCGATATGCATTATCAAGATCGCTCCTCGCGTTGCTAATACTCAACGTATTCTTTCTGTCTATGCCTATATATGATCAAGTTATATTGCTTGATTAACAAAATATATGCTAGAATTTTCGCCGCTTATGATGACTTCACTTAATACACATAACGAAAGTCCTTGTTCTGTTTGTCAGTCAACCCACCCCATGCCTTCTCGTCCGTGACAACCCCCTGGCCTTCTTGGGTTTCCTGGGCGCGATCCCTCCGCCTGTTCTCCCAGACGTAGTACCCGAATAGGACGACAGCTAATAATCCCGCCACGGCCTGAGTCACCAGGACTGCAATCTTCGCTGGTCGGTATTCGGGGGCATCCCTTGCCTGGAAAGTTTGCGGCCCAATGATATTGCCCACGCAGAAAAAGCCGGCCACCACAGCACTTGTAAATGCACGCTTTGTGTATCCTGCGCAATTGGCGGCGATCCAGTGGTATATTACCGGTGTCGGAGCAACGATTGCATTAACTAAGTAGATTCCAATCAATACTCCGGCTCGGTTGTTCTTGGGAAGGAAAGACATCAGACCGCCGCCGATAATTCCTGGGATACTGCAGATAAAGACCCATGCCCAGCGATTCGATGTTTTACGGACGCCAATTCCCACTAGAAGTGTAAAAAAAATACTAACAATCCCTGAAGGGGTGTTTAGAAGGGCTGAGATAGGTCCGCCAAAGCCAAAGTCGGCGATAAGCGTGGACGAATACACCACGACCACTCCGCTGGAAACAGCTTGCTAGATACAAGTTAGCTCTCCTTCTTCATAGACTAGAATATACTTCAGGGGCCAAAACTTGGAAGAGGCAAACAGGCGGGAATGAACGTACCAAGGCGAGCATCAACGCCCACAACCACACCTGAGGATCAAGGACCGCTTCCAGCAATTGCTTGGGATCAAACTTGCCATTGCGAATACCGGTCTGGTTCACGCGAACGTGTTGAAGTAGCATCACCTTTTGGTCATTGGATAACCACTTCGCTTGCATTGGTGTATCTGGAAGGGAAAGTAAGGTGATAAATCCAACAGCAACGGTGATTAGTCCCATGACAAGGAACATGATACGCCAGCCGGCGAATGCATGGTGTACGTGTTGGAAGCCAAAGGAAATCAATCCGCCGATGATCTGTGCTACTCCTAGGCCTAAAAACCAAAATGTAAATCTTGGGGCCTGTTCGGACTTCGTGTAATATTGACTGCTTATGATCATCAAGGATGGCGCTACTGGGGCTTCAAAAATCCCAAGGAATATACGCGCGACAAGTAGAGTCGTATAGTTCTTCGCACCTGCCGCCGCCGCGGCTGCAACACCCCAGAGCATGACATTGATGCTCAACCATTTGGCTGGAGGGACCTTCTGGAGAAGATATGCTGGTGTTCTGGTGAGTTTTCATGCATGTGGGAGGATCACAAGAACTTACTATTTGGAACTTCAGCAACCAAGGATGCAATGAAAAAGGCACTTGCGCCGTTGCTAAAGTTGTTTCCCTTCAGGTCCAGGTCTGTTTTCATTCCCATAACTCCCGCATACTTTTGGAATCGGGATTAGCGAGGTCGGTAAGAGGGTCCGAGATACTGACATTATACATCACTTTATCGATAAATTGTAGAAAATAGCAACAAAACATAAAGGGCAAAATGCGCCGATCCACTTTATGACGGATTGCGACCAGATCGACGTCAGTGTGTTGAACATCGCCATGTTTATCCAAGAAATTCCAGGCATCGTCCAGTGGTTGCGAAGACGTCGCTTGTCCCTGTACGTCCGCAACTGGTTGGTCGCGGTTTTTCTCCGTCATCGTTTCTCTCATTCTTCCTGGAGAATGATTTTAAACCGGGTGAGAATGCATGCTAACGATGAAGAACAATTAAAGAAGGGACAGAATGCTACAACGTGGCGGAATCCAAAATAAACTCAAGAATGTAAAACGGAATGAGCAAAAGAGGGGTCCAAAAGATACCACGAAAGAGGCAGAGATTGACCTTGATTGTTATGCTATTATCACTTCAAGGCAGATGAGAATGTAACCTCCTGCAGAATCCAAAGTTTACAGGGTCGTATTTCTCATTTATGCAGGTTATACATCCTATGTCAACCATCCATGGTCCTGGTGTGAGGTTGCAATAAAGACCATTCGATTTGCCTTAACCTCGTCTAGAATTCCACTTGCCATGGATGTCCGATGTACAAGTCAGTATCTTGCAGCCACCGTGGCTCGCATGTTAGGCCACCCAGACCAGGGTTCCCAAAGCCTTAGATCCGTGGATATTGGCCTCTCGGTCTCAAGGTCATCACAGTTAATTCCCTTGGCAAATTTCTTCGCGCCTTGAATGGCTAGAGTCCTCAGCCCGAAAGCAGATCGTCTCTTTCTGCAACTGTAAGGGAAACCAAATACGAGGTCTGTCGATCGCCGCACGTAGTATTATTATTATTTTTTTTCTGATTGTGTGGAAATAGTGGTTATTGAATTAACACATGTGATATCACAAATGCCAGGTTTAAGTCACCGTCCATTTGGCTGTACTAATAATCATGCCTTCGCATCGGCGGCTCAACGACTGATCTACATGTTTCTGAAGCCGATCTCTGTCACCTCAAGTAATGACAACATGAATTGTTATTGTTTATTCATTGTATCTTCAAGAAGGAATGCCGACCTACCCACATTGAAATAATAAGTAGTTTGAACAAGTTAACTAGATATCTTGAGATCGAAGACTTCGGCTTGTTTAACAGATATTGCTGAGCCTTACAGTAGATTAGGGCTTTGCATCAAGCTATTGCAATAGGTCACCCTCATTCAATCGTTCTTCTCTTCGTCTTTATTCTTTTCTTTAAAAGCAAGAAAGGAAGGAAAGATAAATCATGTAAAGAATCATCATCCGTATAAAACATGCGTAACAGTGTCCTAAAAGACACAGTGGCACTAAAGGCTAGAATTAACTATAGCCCTAACACATTAACTTAAGAAGCACCTACACTGGAGATCAGTTAAGAATCAATCAATCTCAGAAATATCCAGACAAATACCTCGAATTCACAGAACTGGTTGTGCCTAGCTAACACACGCATGATGATCACGTATTCAATCTATACGCTTTAGTATTATAGTTAGCTGCCTTCATCTTCCTAAGCAACTCCACTTTATCTCATAGTTAGTTGGGGTAATCCTGCTTTGTAAACCATGTTGAGAAATACAGATACTCTCCACACGATAGGCTATCGATGTCGTGATCGCAACCTCAGTTTCACTCATCCGCAAACACATTTGTCATCACAAGATAACTGACATGTATATAGGTCACGATAATAATGCTTCAGCCCCGCTGGCAATAGTGGAACTTTCTTGTCCTACAGAACCATCCAGCCCATAACCAGAACCCCAGTATAAGAGACCATGCCTGAGAAATCACTACATTTGACCGCATTCATGCGGCCGGTCAGCTTACACACCGGCGCATGGCGATACCCCGGCGCCTATCCAGACGCCAATTTCAATCTCACCCATCTCAAATCCTTCATCAAGAAGCTAGAAGATGCCAAATTCGACGCCTTCTTCATGGCCGATCACCTCGCCGTGCTGAACATGCCCGTTGAGGCGCTTAAACGCAGCCACACCGTGACATCCTTCGAGCCGTTCACTCTACTCTCGGCGCTATCAGTTGTCACAGAGAAGATTGGGCTCGCGGCCACAGCATCCACGACTTACGATGAGCCCTACCATATCGCGCGACGCTTCGCCTCGCTGGATCATCTCAGTGGCGGCCGCGCGGCTTGGAACATCGTCACCACCGGTAATCCGGAGTCTGCGAAGAACTTCGGACTAGATGCACACGTGGAACACGCTGATCGCTACAAGCGTGCCCGAGAGTTCTACGATGTCGTTACCGGGTTATGGGATAGTTTTGCTGATGATGCCTTCATCCGCGATCAAGAGACCGGTGTCTACTTTGATCCGGAGAAGTTGCATGTTCTCGACCACAAGGGCGATGATCTGAAAGTGAGGGGGCCCCTGAATATCGCGCGGCCGGTTCAAGGCTGGCCTGTGATTGTTCAAGCGGGACAGTCCGAGCCAGGAAAACAGTTGGCGGCGGAAACGGCCGAAGCGGTCTTCTGCTCGCCGAGAGATTTGGAGTCGGCAAAGGCGCTGTATGCGGACGTCAAGGGCCGTGCAGTGGCAGCTGGTCGGGATCGTAGCCATATCAAGATCCTGCCGGCCGCCTTTGTCGTCGTTGGTGACAGTGTGGAAGAGGCCAGGGCCAAGCGCCTCAAGCTCGACAGTCTAGTCCACTACGACAGCGCCATTGCCTCCTTGTCCATTGCTCTGGGAACGGATGCGTCCGGCTTTGATCCAGATGGTCCACTACCGACGGATATTCCGGAGACTAATGCGAGCAAGACAGGCCGTGCTGGCGTCCTGAAGCTTGCCGAGGATGAGAAGTTGACCGTCCGGCAGCTTGCACAGCGATATGGTGGCTACTCGGGGCTTGCCTTTGTTGGTACCCCTGAATCGATCGCGGAGGAAATGGGTACCTGGCTAGCCGAGGAGGGCGCTGATGGTTTCACTGTCGTTTTCCCATTCCTGCCGCAGGGGCTGGACGACGTTGTTGAACGACTGGTACCTGAGTTGCAGCGTCGTGGCCTTTTCCGTCAGGATTATGAAGGGTCTACTTTAAGAGAGCACCTTGGTCTTCCACGTCCGAATAATCGGTTCTTTTCGTAAAGGGTTTTTGTCCTATGTAAATAGAGTCAGGGATACGACATCTGGGTGATGCAGCAGCTAGATCATGAGTACGTGGCTATGTGGGATTTATGCTTTGTCTGGCACCTACAGTATCAGGGATCTTCATTGAGATTCCACAGAAAGTATACATTATACTACCAGACTTATGACACATTATAATCAGCTATAGCTTCTTTTACTGCTCGAAAGACTCTGACTGTCCATTCTCCTAAGACATTACAGACTTACCAATAAGAGCAGTCCTGCTGCCTAGGGACATAAAAGATATACAGTAAATACTTTATAATATTGACAGTAGACGCATACACACTAGCATCATGTTTGGTGTTTGCAGCTCATAAAACAGTCCTGCCTAAGATCACAAAAGTGAATGATATCACAGGTGAATACTGAGGTGCAGAACAAAGACCATAGGTCTGAATTTCTTAGAATCCGCTTCATTTATTCACTGTCTCTGATGTGTTCCACAGCGTTGGGGTCCTCTTGCTTGCCATCTCCTGCTCGCGTACCTTCCTTCTATCCACCATCACAAGTTCGCGATCTCTACCTCACAGCATGGGATCAAAGAAATCTCACAGAAGGTCTGGGTAAGTCACATAATCCTAATTCGCCGAGAGCACTGAGATATATAACCTCTCTTTCTTCATTCTTAGCGGTCTCCCCTCTAAACTGACCTGATGATTCTGTCTATATCTCCCTATCCTTACATTTATCATTACTAGACATGCCAAGTGCGAGCGTAACGAGGAAAACGACAGCGAGATCTGCACCATGGATAACTTCTCAACAGACTTGGCGTTGAGAGCTCGATATGTGGCCGCTAAGCAAGCTTCTTTTGACGAGCCCTTCGAGCTGTCCGAGGGCGATTCCACTTTGTCCCATGCGATCAGAGCTCGCGTTGATGCGGTAAGGACTCGCCTCCCATATGTAAACCATTATCCTTCTCTGATCAACCTCACAGAACCTCCCAACTGCTGAAAGAGGAACCGTTGCGGGGTCTCCTCTCTCTGATGAAAATGTCGCAGACATACTTAAGAAGGTTAAGCCAGACTGCCATAAAGCCCAGGCGTGGGTCAAGGCGCATGAAGTCACCAAGGCGACCATGGAGCGACTTAAGGCGATGTCGGAGAACCGCGACGCCCTCAGAAAGAAGGCAGCGCGTCAGTCACACGGCAGAGCTCGTCAGGCAGAGGCCCAGTCCGATGCACCCAGATACCAGGCAAGGGCCCCGTCTCCGAGCTTGCAGGTTCCCGAGGGTCGTACCGTTGAAGAAGAACTGGAGGATGCGAGGGTGGTGTACAACAGGGTTAGCCTGGCGCACGATAGACTCCTGAAGACCATCGCCGACATGGAGGAGTTTAGAAAGACTCTCTCATAGATCTCCCCTCCGTTTAGTCTCCACAGCCGGCTGTGGTAGGCCGGCATTGCTTTCTTTCACGCGGCTAGACCGAAAGTTCCCTAACTTAGTTTGGCATTCGCAGCGCGACATGTAACAGACCGGCAGGCATACATCATTGTCTTCTTGCTTGTCTTTCTCCCATGTAATAGAGACACGGTGAATGAACGCTACCGTTGTTATTGCTCAGAGTGAACCCTTTTCACATGAGACTGTACCATAGAGTCTAGCTTCACCATTCACAGAATTCTCTTCTCCAATCTTTATGTCTTCTTGTTCCTGTTGGCTCCTCTTACTTTGTCTGGGTTCTCTAGTTTATCTACTAATGGTCGGTACGGTGACGCAAGAACATGCTCCGGCGCCCGCTGCGCAGGTTCCTCTCGTCTAGCCTCCCCAGGAGACGGACGTCGTCGTTGATCCTCGTGCATCCGATCCAGCGGCTCGCCCACGATCTGATACTTGTTCCAGTTGATCGGTGGCATGCGTACCACGTTTTGTGGTGTAGGTATGGTCCCCAGGCCCGACGCACCCCCTTCTTTCGAATCCGCCATCTTATCATCATCATCGTCGTCCTCCTCCTCGTCATGCGTGAAGTTCACGAACCTCCCGGGTCTTTCGCGGTCAGGTTTCCCGCCGCCAGTTCGCGCGCAAACCCCTCAGGATCGGCTGCCGCCGCTTGCTTCAGTCGCTCCAGTGTCCGTATATCGCGCAGACTTTGCTGCTTCTGAAGCTGTAGTATCGAAATGGTGGACCGCAACGCGATCGCATCGGGGTTCTCGCTTTCCGAGATTGGCACAGCAGCGGGCTCCGGCGCAAAGACGGCCGGTGTCGTAGGCAGCGAGGCTGCTGTACCGCCAATGCGACTCGTTGGCGACGGCGACGAGGCCGGGGGAATAATGGGATGTGATGGCGCACCGTTGGACGCGGAGGCGTTCTGGACTGGGGCCAGATGAGCGAAGACCGGAGTTACTGGGGAATAAGGCGGGCGCGGTGGAGTCCCTGGCCGATCATTCGGATTGCTTTCATTGTCCTGAGTGGGCTGCATGGTGCCTGAATTGTCGATGTGGATGTCGGACGCCAAGATTAGGGTTTTTCTGTTTAATTTTTAGAATGAAGATGATGAACGCGTGGCCGGGTTGTGGTTGTGGCGGTGGTGGATGATTGATTGATTGATTGATGTTGTTTATGCTCATCGGCTGATGACGTCTTAAAAGGCAGCCTTTATTGAATTTATCCTCTTCGTCAAAACCTAACCCTCCATTTTCCAGGTACACATTTCGATGCGATAACATCTACTGTTGTAGGTTCCCACTTCGTTTAGTAATTCTTCTAGTCATTACGAACCTACAGGTATATTCTATTAAATTCTATCCCAGTAAAAAGATCAGTTAGTAATTGTTGAAACTCACATTCTCAACATTATTGAAGCTACAAAAAATGAGATCTACTCACCAGAGAATTAACCAAAGAAGAGAATGCTCTATAGTAGTATTTTTTTTTCTTATTATTCATATTAATTAAAAATAACGAACGTATATCAAGTAATTAATTTGACTCGAAAATGGCCTGATTTGTGGCCTGATCGCTGCCTTTGAACCTCTCACCGCCCAAAAAAGAGAAAGAAGGAAAAAAAAAAAGACTCTCCCAAACCTAATCAGGCCGATACTCTCTCCGTATTCTCCTCTTTCCAATCCCCTCACATCACACAATATGAAGCGCAAGACTGAGGGAAGAGAATCGCTGGGTGGCAATGACCAGCCAGATTCCAAGAGACGGGCATTGACGAGCGAAGAAGCCGCCGCGCGCTTCCGCGATGGTCTGTTTGAACCCACGGAGCAGCACAAGTATACCGAGCAATACGCCGAGTCCGCACCGTATGTCGACACCTGAGTTCTCGCAACCACACTTCGAAAATAAAACAAACTACATGTGTAGAATGCTGATCATCAATCAAGGTACAAGCATGGAGTCATCCATCCCTTAATCGAGCCCTCCTTGCTGCGCGCAGTCCGCAACGAAATCCAACAGCACTTGGACTTCACCGAGAAAGAGACGGATATCTACAAGATTTTCCAGTCCGGAGATTTGGCGAACCTGGATGGGCTGGACGATGCATCCCTGTCGCGACTCCCCTCCCTGCTGAAGCTTCGTGACGCCATGTACTCCGCCCGCTTCCGTGAATACCTGTCGTCCGTGACTGGCTCGGGCAAGCTGAGTGGTCGCAAGACCGATATGGCTATCAACATCTACAACGAGGGATGCCATCTTCTGTGCCATGACGATGTCATTGGAAGCAGACGTGTCAGCTACATCTTGTATTTGACTGATCCGGACACCCCCTGGCAGGCGGAATGGGGTGGTGCGCTGCGCCTGTACCCCACGACCACGAAGAAGGATGCAGAGGGTGAGGACGTCAAGATCCCCAGCCCCGACTTCAGTCTCAGCATCCCACCCGCCTTCAACCAGCTGAGCTTCTTCACCGTTCAGCCTGGTGAGAGTTTCCATGACGTCGAGGAGGTTTACCATTTCAAGGAGGGCGAGGATAGGTCGAAGAAGCGCGTGCGTATGGCCATCAGTGGATGGTTCCATATTCCCCAGAAGGGAGAAGACGGCTACGAGGAGGGTCTAGAGGAAAAGCTTGCCGAGCGGAGTAGTCTCGCTCAGCTTCAGGGACGCGGTGACATCTACGACCTCCCCCAACCTAAGACGGTCGTGTGCGAGAATGAATCGGAGGAGGTTGAGGGCAAGGGCAAAGGCAAAGTGGAGGAGCAACCCAACAGCACCGAATTTACCGAGGCCGATCTCAACTTCTTGATCCAGTACATCGCACCATCCTATCTCACCCCAGACATCGCGGAGGAGATGTCGGAGACATTCACCAATGAGTCCTCGCTCAACTTGGAACAGTTCCTGTCAGAAAAGTTCTCTGCCCGCGTGCGAGAATATATCGAGGAACAAGAGAAGACGACACTTCCTCAATCATCAGATGAGATCCAGGCACAGACCGGATGGACTGTCGCCCGTCCCCCTCACAAGCAGCGCTACATGTTCCTGCAGCATTCAGCCGCTGCCCAGGACGAGAAGAGCCCCCTTCAGGAGCTGCTCAACGACGTCTTTCCTTCCCCCGCATTCCGCAAATGGCTCGCCGCCATTACCGGTGCGGAACGTCTCACAAGCTACGACTTTATGGCACGCCGCTTCCGTCGTGGACAAGACTACACTCTGGCCAGCGGCTACGATGGTGAAGAGCCCCGGTTGGAGTTCACGCTGTCCCTGACCCCTACACCGGGATGGGAGAAGGGGGGTGACGAAGATGAGGAAGATGAAGAGGATGATGATGATGAAGAGGGCGAGAACGGCGAGTCCGAGAAGAAGCCGAAGGCCGAGCCCAAGGAGAAGGAGCCTAAGAGTGACGCTGAGGAGCCCGCCGTGGGTGGCTACGAGCTCTACATGGCTGGGGACGACGAGGAGGAGGGCGACGCAGCCATCTACCGTTCTGCCGCCGCGGATGAAGATGACGGCATCCTATTCAGCACTTCTGCCGGCTGGAACCGACTGAGCATTGTCCTGCGCGACAGCGGTACCCTCAAGTTTGTCAAGTACGTCAGCGCTGCCGCCAAGGGAGACCGGTGGGATATCACCGGTGAGATGGGTGTGGAGTTTAATGACGATGACGATGACGAGGACGAGGACGAGGATGATGAGATGGAAGCTGATGAGGAGTAAAATGGTATCTTTTCGCTAATTTCATTTGTCCGTTTGTATATACAATAACTTTTACTATCTTCACGAATCAAGCCTTGGGCACCACCCAAATGACCAAAAATAGATTGAATGTTTCACTCCTGCAGCATTGAAATCATTGCTGCCTACTATGGATTCACTGTCCTAGTCCGTACATGACAATCTCCAGTGGCGATATCTGTATCCCAACTAGAGAACCGAGCAGGCGCTTAAGTGGCTTAGCCAACGGGCTACCTCGATGCACACAGCCACAATGATAGACCATATGCATCTCCAACTTAGTTAACGAGCAGGCGGCAACATATCCTCCTTCATGTCGTACATATCTAATTAATTACACACTCAGGCTGTTTTACAATAACCCTATCCAGCATCTAGATCATTACAAACCCGGCCGGAAAGTTACACAACAAATCTGGGCTGTGAGACACCCCACTTAACCCTAATTCAGCTGTGTATCAATGGATGTAAGCATGCATTGACTTCAGCTTGAGTTGGAAAGAAAGTTTGTGGTGGACTTTTGTTGATCCTTTCATTTGAAACCTTACGAATCACTGGTCTTCAGCCATGGAAGTATATTTACAGGGGCTCATTATGGTTTCAGCTGCGACATTATGGTCAACAAAGATAAAGTCCAATATCGGGTACTTTCGTAGAAATTCAAGCTTCTAGAGCATGATTACTTTCATATACCATAAAAGGGAAGACCTTTCAACGACCAACGGTTGTGTAGTGTAATGGTTAGCACCCAGGATTCTGATTCCTGTAATCCCGGTTCGATCCCGGGCACGACCTATCTTTTTTTTTTTTTTCTTTCTTTCATGTTCAAGAAAACCTACCAGGGAGACACACTCTCTGTCTTTTTACCGTTGCTTCACCGACTCCCTTCGATCACCGCTCTTATCCGCAGAGTTGGCAGGCAAAGCCGAGTCAATAGCTGAAGATAAACCACCAGACACAACAGCCAAGGTCCTGGCACCCAAACCATGTTGCCTGGCCACGAACATAGAATCATCCAACCTGCCCTGATACCTAGATTTCGCGTATACCATCTTCAGCCATGCCTCACCGATGTAAAATGCCCACACCCCAGCTCTGAACCTACATATGTTGCGCTGTATCATATCGCGGGTGACGCACTACCAGTAACCGAGCATCATTGAATGTCCAGCCCCATACACGATCCAACTCGTCACACCCTTACCTTCGTTCTGTTCTGATTTCTTTGTCTGGTATAGCCTGTTCCGTATGACTATGAGTTATTTAGCCATGGTGCTAGACAAGTGTCTCTTGACACTTTACTAGTAGATACTCCAGACCCGCCATCAAGGTATTATCTTTTATACCACCCCCTCTACACCCTTAGATACCACTATACATGGTTGAAGGAACCAACAGTGCCATCTCCGGCCTTGACAATATACTACTGTCACACTCTAGCCTCAAATGTCAGCCTCACCATTCACGAACACCCAGGCCGGACATGGATGGATAAACACTAATCAAACCATATACACCAACACTGCAAAGGTAGGCACGTCTAAAGAAGACATACCACAACATGGCCCTGAATATGGCCACACTAGAAGATCTACTTTCGGCGAGGAGTATGGATAATCTGTACTTTCTCAATGTTACATAGCTGTAAGCGGGTTTACTTCCATTGTGATATGTTGGTAAAGGCCCGGTTATGCCAACCGTCTACACCCTACATCAGACAAGAAGGAGGATACACAAGGACCTGAATTGGATGGTCAACGCACAGTCTAATAGTCCACAAGACGGTGTGATGGCCAAGAACCATGGTAAATATAGAGTTATCAATCTGAGATAAGACTACCGTAAACGATTCCGCCAAGCAGTCGTTGATAGTCGGTAGAATTACCACCCTAGGAGAAAACGACCGAGTCATACTAGGCACTGTATGCAGACCTGGCTATGAAGGGGGAAAAAATAAAAAAAAAAAACATCTCATCAATCACTTCTGGATTGATTTTGTTTAATTAGCAAAAAAGAAAGCCAGGTCGTGCCCGGGATCGAACCGGGATTACAGGAATCAGAATCCTGGGTGCTAACCATTACACTACACAACCTCTGGTTGTTGAGAAATCAATACCAAAAGTGTTATATAAAATAAATCATGCTATTGAACAATTCATCATCGAGTAATAGTGTCAGATCAGGTGTCAGATGAAATATAATCAAGATAAGGTATTGCTGAGTTAAGGGCTATGTAGATATAATCAAGTCTACTTTAACCATCAAATTGCAAACTTTGCGGACGTGTGTTAATCTTTTCCT